TGGAACTCCCTCACGATGTCATAGTGAGTGTACCAACAGCACATGGACTGCAGCAAATCAAGAAAGCAGCTCACACCACTTTCTCAAAGGTAATTAGGAATTTGAAATAAATGCTGGTTCAGCCATGTTCCATGAAAGAATAAAAACAAATTCCCATGCCAGGGGAAATATCCTCTCAGCATCAAGACCCCTCAGAATCTTACATGTTTGAATAACATTCTGTTGATCAGATGTTTATAAAACTTCATCTCTTCAGATTTTACTTGGCCTGTGAGAGACCTGGTTTCAGGATAATGGCTGTGTACAAATGCAGTGTGCCATTGCTTGTTCGACAGTCAAGATGTCAGAATCAGAGTAAGCCATTTAACCCCTCAAGCCTGTTCTACTATTCAATAAGAACATGGCTGACTTACGGCCGAACTGCATATCCCTCAATACCTTTGCCTAATAAAAATTTATCTACCTCATTTTAAAATTAACAACTTATCCTGCCCCCACTGCCATTTGTGGAAGTGAGGTCCAAACATCTATCACCCTTTGTGTGTCACATCTTTCCTAAATGGTGTGGCCCTAACTCTCAGATTATACCCCATAGTTCTAGAATCCCCAACCACTGGAAATAGTTTATCTTTATCTACCTCGTCCTTTTTTGTTAATATCTTTAAGACTTCAATTAGTTAACCCCTTAATCTCTTAAATTCTTGAGAAAACAGGCCTGCTTTGTATAATCGCTCCTCATAGCCCTTGAAGCCGTCCCTGAAGCCTAGGTACCATTTTTGTAAGCCTTAGCTGTACTCCCTCCAAGGAATCTATACTTCTTAAGGTGTGGCGTCAAGATCTGCTCACAGGTACTGTTCACTGTGGCATCTAACCAGTGTTTTATATAAGTGAAGGATAATTTCTGCATCTATGTACTCCAGTCATCTAGCTATAAAGGCCAGCATTAATTAGTTTCCTTAATTATTTTCTGCACCTGTTTCTGACACTTTAAAATATACATACCTGAACCCCCAAGTCTCTTTGGGTATTGACTGTAGTCAACTTCATACCATCTAGAAAGTACCCTGATCTATCCTTTATCGGTGCAAAATCAGTAACAGCACACTTACTTTCACTGACCTCTATCTGCTACAGTTTTGTCCTTTCATTTAGTCTATCAATATCCCTTTGTAATTTTATGCTGTCATCTACACTGTCTAAAATGCCAACCTATTTGTAACCTCAGCAAATTTGGTATGTGATGTTCCATGACGTTATCCAAGCCGTTAATAAATAGTGTGAATAATTGAGGCCCGCACAAAGATCCCCGTGGGCTACTACTGGTCATGTCCCAACAGAGCCCTTCAGTGTACTGATTGAGAGAAGGATCTTTGGTGCAAGTCCATAGCTCCTTGAAAATGGCAATACAAGTAGATAAGGTAGTAAAGAAGGTGTAAGGCATGCTTGCCTTCATCAGTCAGGACACTGAGTATAAAAGTTGGCAAATCATGTTCCAGCTGTCCAAGACTTCACTCAGGCCACATTTTGACTATTGTGCGCAGTTTTAGTTGCCACATTATAGAAAGGATGTAGAGGCTTTGGAAACTGTGCAAAAGATGTTTACCAGGATGTTGCCTGGATTGGTGTATAGCTTTAAGTAGCAGTTGGACAAATTTGGATTGTTTTTGCTAGAATGCTGCAGAATGATGGACGATTTGATAGAAGAGAGTCATGGATAGGGTGCATAGTCGAAGTATTTTCCCCGTAGTCATAGTCATAAAGATGTACAGCACAGAAACAGACCCTTCAATCCAACTTGTCCATGCTGACCAGATATCCTAAATTAAACTAGTCCCATTTGCCTGCATTTGGCCCATATCCCTCTAAACCCTTCCTAATCATATACCTATCCAGATCCCTCTTAAATCTTAGACCTATGCCCTCTAGTTTGGACTCCCCCACCCTGTGGAAAAGACCTTGGCTATTCACCCTATCCATGCCCCTCATGATTTTATAAACCTCAGCTTCCAACACTCCAGGGAAAATAGCCCCAGCCTACTCAGCCTCTCTCTATATAGCTCAAACCCTCCTACCCTGCAACGTCCTTGTAAATATTTTCTGAACGCTTTTAAGTTTCACAACATCCTTCCTATAACAGGGAGACCAGAATTGCGTGCAATATTCCAAAAGTGACCTAACCCATGTCCTGTATAGTTGCAACATGACCTCCCACTCCTATACTCAATGCACTGACCAATAAAGGCAAGTGTACCAAATGCCTTCTTCACTACCCTGCAAGATGGCGACAGGGTAAGTCGTTCCATTCGGAGCTCCACTGTGCTCGCCAGTTCTCCTTCTCTTTCTTTCTTTTTATGTCCTTCCTTTTTTTTCTCCTTTCTTCCCCCTACCTCTGTAGTAATTCTATTCCCCCACCCGTTTTAACTGCCTACCTAAGGAGTCGGGAAGGAGCCGGGTCATGAGTGAGAACCACGTGGTGAGAGCTGAATGCACAGGTTGTGTCCTGCAGCGACGGTGGATCAAGCGTGGACCAGTGTGATGACAACAGATCAAGAGTGGGCCGGCAAGAGTGGGCCGGTGAGGCAGCAGGGAGTGGGGCCGGTGAGGCAGCAGGGAGTGGGGCCGGTGAGGCAGCAGAGAATGGGACCGGTGAGGCAGCAGAGAGTGGGGCCGGTGAGGCAGTAGAGAATGGGGCCGGTGAGGCAGTAGAGAATGGGGCCGGTGAGGCAGCAGAGAGTGGGCTGGTGAGGTAGTAGAGAATGGGGCCGGTGAGGCAGCAGAGAGTGGGGCCAGTGAGGCAGCAGAGAGTGGGGCCGGTGAGGCAGCCGGGAGTGGGGCCGGTGAGGCAGCAGAGAGCATGAAGCTGGCAGCAGAGAGTGGGAAGCTGGCAGCAGCATGGCATAGGCTGGAAAGCCCTGAATGAAACTAAGGTGGAGGCATGGTGAGGGCTGGAAAGCCCTGAGTGCGACTGCGGCAGTGGAAATGAAAGTTGGACTCTCTTGTTTTCCTTTTCTTTCTTATCTTATTTTAAGTTAATGTGAATGGCGCCATGTATGTATGACGAAGGTACACAATTTTCACTGTATTTTTACAATGAATACACGTGACAATAAATGATTCAGTTCAATACCTCTCATTCCACTTTCAAGGAGCTATGAACCTTTACCTCAAGGTTTCTTTGTTCGGCAACATTTCTGACCATTAAGTGCTTAAGTCCTGCTCTGATTTGCCTTAACAAAATGCAGCATCTCACATTTATCTAAATTAAACTTGATCTGCCAGTCCTTGGCCTATTTGCTGATCTGATCAAAGTCCCATTGTACTCTGAGGTAACCTTCTTGGCTATTCACTACATGACAAATTTTGGTATCATCTGCAAACTTACCTCCTATATTCACATACAAACCATTTATATAAATGACAAAAAACAGTGGACCCAGCACTGATCCTTGCCGCACACCACTGGTCATAGGCCACCAGTCGAAAAAGCAACCTTCCACCACCACCCTCTCTCTCCTGCCTTCAAGAAAATTTTGTATCCAAATGCTCACTCTCCCTGTATTCCATGCGATCTAAGCTTGCTGACCAGTCAAGCATGCGAAATCTTGTTGAGTGCCTTGCTGAAGTTCATATAAACAACATACACTACTCTGCCTTCATCAGTCTTCTTTATCACTGCTTAAAAAAACTCAATCAAGTTAGTGAGGCACAATTTCTCACGCACAAAGCCATGTTGGCAATCCCTAATCATTCCCTGCCTTTCCAAAAGTAAATCTTGTCCCTCAGAATTCCCTCCAACAACTTACCCGCTATTGATGTCAGGCTTACTAGTCTATAGTTCCCTGGCTTTTCCTTACTACCTTTCTTAAATAATGACACCAAATTAGCCAATCTCCAGTATTTTAGCGCCTCATTCACGGGTAACAATGATGAAAATATCTCAGCAAGGGCCCCAGCAATCACTTCCCTAGCTTCCCATAAAGTCTTGGGGTACACCTGATCAGGTCCTGAGGATTTATCCACCTTTATGCATTTTAAGACGTCCAGCACCTTCTCCTCTGTAATATGGAAACTTTCTATTTATTTCTCCAAGTTCACCAGTTTCATATCCATCTCCACAGTAAAAACTGATGTGAAATACTCATTTAGTATCTCAACAATCTCTTGTGGTTCCACCCACAGGTGGCTCGTTGAATGGTACGGAACACAGGTTTAAGACGTACGGGGAAAGTTTAAAGGAGATGTGTGAGGCAACTTTTTTATGCAGAGGGTGATGGGTGCTGGGGTGGTGGGAGAAGCAGATGTGATAGCAAGAGGCATTTAGACAGAAACATGAACAGGCAGGGAATAGGGGGATACGGACCATGTTCAGGCAAATGAGATTAGTTTAGAATGGCATGGTGGTCAGCATAGACATGGTGGGACAAAGAGACTGTTCCTGTGCTGTACTGTTCTATATTCCAATCTTTATGCCATAATATCTGTACTCCAATCCAGACAACATCCTGATAAACCTCTTTGGCACCCTCTCCAAAGCCTCCAAATTCCTCCTATAGTGTGGCGGCCAGAACTGCACAGACTACTCCAAATGTGGCCAAAATAAAGTTTTGTACAAATGCAACATGACTTACTAACTTTTATACTCAATGTCCTGACTGATGAAGGCAAGTATACCGTACACATTCTTTACCACCTTATCCATTTGTCTTGCCACTTTCAGGGGTCTATGGACTTGCAACCCAAGGTCTCTCTGTATATCAATGCTCCTGAGGGTCCTGTCATTTACTGTGTATTTTCTTACATTTGACTCTCAAATTGCACCACCTCACACTTGTCCAGATTAAACTCCATCTCTCATTTACTTATTTGGATTTTAATTTGTATTTTTAAATTTCCTACTGGTATTTGGTTTTTAATCTGTAAAACATTTCTCCATTTACCTTTAATCCGAAAATAATTTAGAATAGGTATTCAAATTAGCAGTTGTTTACCAACTAACAAACTTACGGCTTTTCCTGTAACGTCACTTTTTTTTTTAACTGTTTATGATCTCTGTGTCTCCTTTCCATCAGGTCCTCTCTCTCCCGCTGAGCTCCCAGGCAAGTCTGTAGACCTATAGCCTCGACCACGCTATTTATTTCCTGCACGGTCACAGTCTCCTCCTCCATTGGTTCATTTTTACTCTCTGCCTCAAATTCCCTAAGACCATACTTTTCTATAAAAGATTGTAAGTAATTATCAAGGAAAGCATACAAGAGACTGATGACCTCGTCCCTTTTTCACCTAATGTCTGCTTCACAAGACTCCAGTCACACATTAATGCAACAAATGAACACTCTAGTGCAGACCACATTAAGGAGCTTCTGTAACAAATGTTGGATCAAGGATGGGCACAGTTACGGGTCAGAATAAAGGGAACTAACCATGTTCTGGGCTACTTGACAGAAGGAGAAAAACCAAGGAAATGGAGGCTCAGTAAGAGATAGGGAGAGACACAAAGTAATTTGAGAAACAATTTGGACAGGATCAGACCACATCTTTCACATATTTTAATTACTGTACATATTTGAATTATTGTACAATGTGTTTCATTAATAAGGCAAAAACAGCAATGCCATAGAAAACCATAAGAGATTAAGTGTCTGAATTGTATGAGTGTGGTCTGGAAAGCATTGACCCCCACTGTTGGCTGTATCTGTGCTGACTGTTTGTATATGTAAATGTCAAAATTTCCCTTTCATGGTAATTTACTGTAAGCTGATTCAGCCACCATACCTCCCGGCAATTAGTAGCATTCGGAGTAAGTTGGTCTGCAATCTGAAGCTCACAATTTCTCATTGACTTAAATGAATGGTCTGAAACAAAAGTTCTGCTTCACTCAAATAAAAGCAAAATACTGCAAATACTGGAAATCAGTAAAAAATACAAACCCTTTTGAAGAAAAGCCTTACTGGGCTTGAAACGTGAACTGTTTCTCTCAGAGATGCTACTAGACTTGCTGAGTTTCTCCAGCATTTTCTAAGTTTGTGCTTGCTTCACTGGCTGTGAATTTCTGACAATCCACCAAATGCCACAGTAACACTTTCAGTTCAGCTACTGTGCTGTCTTGATTGTAACAAGATCAGTCAGAGTACTTCATACAATATGAGTTCCTTGTTTGGGGCTGTTACCCTGGACCAATCAAGGAGCCATGGTTGACAGATATAAACAGGAGTGCCAGAGGTTCTAATCTCTCTGACAGGTGGTTCTGAGGCAGCTAGATCAGGTATCAAAGACTCTCCACGTGTAAATGAAGGGTGACTTGGTAACGGGATACCGGCCTTTGTGGGGTTATTTCAGTGGTGATGAGAGTGGTATTATTGATGTAACCATGCAAAAGTGCTGACTGACTGAAGCCCAATTGGATTCAAACAGGCATTACAACTGGTTTTATCAATGGAAAATGTGGCAAGTGAAGCATATGAGTTGTAGGAAATTCTGATCGAAGTGGACACCCTCACCAGTTTGACTGAGCTTGCGGAACACCACCTGAGTGAAAGCAATTGCATAACCTCACTCAGGACATATCCTGAACAGAGGGACTCCAGGTCAGCCCGCAACAAAACACCAAAACAAAGCCAAGTCTCAGCCAAATGGTTAATATTTTCCTTCAGATCCAGGCCAGCAAGCCATTATAGTTACATATTACATAGAATCCCTACAGTGTGGAAACAGGCCCTTCAGTCCAACAAGTCCACACCGACCCTTGGAGCATCCCATCCAGACCCATCTCCTTATAACCCACCTAAGCTACACATCCCTGAACACTACAGGCAATTTAGCATGGCCAATCCACCTAACTTGCACATCTTTGGACTGTGGGAGGAAACTGGAGCACCTGGAGGAAACCCATACAGACACAAGGAGAACGTGCAAACTCCATACAGACGGCCACCCAAGGGTGGAATTGAACCCAGGTCCCTGGCACTGTGAGGCAGCATTGCTAACCACTGAGTCACCGTGCCAGTATGCACACAGAAGACATCAAGAGTCCCACTAGACCTAAACTGAATAAGAGAACTCATGGTATCCAGGAGAGTGCATACACAGGAATGTCTCCTTACATCTGGTTTGGAACAGTTAAATTGCTTAGCAACATCCAAATCAGAACCACTCAAAATAAACGTCTGGTTAAATTGTCACCTGGATTGAATGGAGGTTGATACTGGCATGGCCATTTCAGTGATTGCTGAACAAGCAAACTCCCTCTGGATGCCAACTCTTAAGTTTGTGCAAGACCTCAGATTGGCGGAGAACCTACAGGAGGGAACCTTTACAGATTAAGGGTACAACTTTGGTTCTGGTCTCTTATGAGAAGCAGCTGTTTCAGATTACCACAGATTGTAGTGAAAGGCTTGGGCCCAAGCATAATGGGGCAAAATTGGTGTAGAAAGATTTACCTAGATTGGCTCAACATTTTTAAGTTTGGATATGGGATGAGGCCAGTGGTGGGGAGTTTTTGAAACTAATGAATTCCATATTGAGGCCATCGGACTGTAAGCTCCCGAAGCAGAATATGACGTGTTGTTCCTCCAGTTTGCGACTGGTGTCATTGTGACACTGGAGGAGGCCCAGGGTGGACATGTCACCAAAGGAGTAGGAGGTTAAAGTGGTTGGCACCGGAAGGTGTTGTTGATTATAGTGTACAGAGCACAGATCTCCACGAATTGGTCACCGAGTTTACGCCTGGTCTCACCAATATAGAGGAGACCACACTGGGAACAATGGATACAGTAGAGCAGGTTGGAGGATGTACATGTGAATCCCTGTCGGATTTGGAAAGTTTGTCTTGGGCCTTGGACGGAGGTGAGAGGGGAGGTGTATGGGCAGGTGTAGCACCTCCTGTGGTTGCAGGGAAAGGTGGCGGGTGTGGTGGGATTGGTGGGGAGTGTGGAGCAGATAAGGGAGTCGTGGAGTGAGTGGTCCCTATGAAAGGCAGATAGGGGTGGGGAGGGAAATGCCTCTTTGGTGGTGGGGTTGGATTGTAGGTGGCGGAAGTGGCAGAGGATGATGTGCTGGATGCGGAGGTTGGTGGGGTGGTATGTGAGGACCAGGGGGAACTCTGTCCTTATTTCTGTTGGGGGGTGGGGGTTTGAGGGTAGAAGTGCAGGAAATGCAAGAGATGCAATTGAGGGCATTATGTATCAATGGAAGGGGGAAGTTGCAATCCTTGAAGGAAGAAGACATCTGGGATGTCCGGGAGTGGAACCCTCCATCTTGGGAGCAGACGCGGCAGAGGTGGAGGAATTGGAAGTTAGGGATTGCATTCTTGCAGGAGGGTGATGAGAGGAGGTGTAGTCAGGGTAGCTATGGGAGTCGGTAGGTTTGAAATAGATGTGGGTTCTGAGGTGGTTACTGGAGATGGAGATGGAGAAGTCCAGGAAGGGCAGGGAGGTACTAGAGATTGTCCAGGTGAATTTGAGGTTGGGGTGAAAGGTGTTAGTAAAGTTGATGAACTGTTCAAGCTCCTCTTGGGTGCATGAGGCAGCACTGATACGGTCATCAATGTTGTAGAGGAAGAGGTGAGGGACAGTGGCCGTGTAACAGCAGAAAAGGGATTATTCCATGTACCCTCCGAAGAGGCAGGCACAGCTCGGACCTATACGGGTGCCCATAGTCACCCCTTTAGTTTGTTGGAAGTGAGCGGAGTTAAAGGAAAAGTTGTTGAGGGCAAGGACAAGTTCCGTTGGGCGGATGAGGGTGTCGGTGGAGGTCATGGGTTTGGAAGGTACTGACTAAGAAGCCTCGGAGAATTTCTGACGTGCATCTTATAGATGGAGCGCACTGGTGCTATTGAGTGTCAATCTCGAATGTTTGTGGATGTAATGCCAGTCAAGTGGGACTGTTTGACCTGGATGGTGTCAAGCTTCTTTATTGTTGTGTTGCCTTGTTGTGTGTATTTACTACTTAATTTCTGCCATCCTCTAATTTATCTTTGATCTTTCCTTTCATTCAACGTAGTCCTTTTCAACATCAGAAAACACATCACAGTCGATTGTGAAGAGGAACCAGATTGGAATTAAAAGTTTGACTCTGTTTCTGCTGCTAGACAGGTTGAGTATTTTCCAATACTTTCTGTTTTTATTTCAGCATCTACAGTTTTTTGCTTTTATAAAGCTTCACTAATCATGTGGTTAGAGAAAATGCCAAAATTGCAGAAGACACAAGGCCAGAGAAAATTGTAGCGGTCAAATGGGGTGAGAGCATGGGCTGATGTGAAGACAGAAGTGAGGATCTTAAGAAGAATGAGCCAATTTATGGTTTTCCTTCTCCCAAGCTTATTTTTGCAGTTCTTTGTTTGTGCTGCTGAATTCTCACTGTCAGTTTAATATGACTTCAAGAAATATCCTCATGAATGTTTGGGCACTTCCAAACACTTTTCAGTCTGTGTATTTATCAGGAGAATTAAGTGCAAGAAAACATTGTTCAAAAGACAGGATGAACCTAGTTGACATCCTGCAGAAAAAATCTCTGTCCAATTGTTATTGAGTACTTACTGTTACTCTTCATCTCAGGAACGTTCATCCTAAAATCAGCCTGGGAACGCCTTGCATCTTCGGACATTCTGGTAACTGAACATAAAGAAACGTATCATGGCCTGAGCACACAGCATATAATTTCTTCTCTTGCTTTCATTTTGTTTTCCTTTGTAATCGAATAAAATGTAGGGCCTGTGGTGCTATGTGTAGTATCCCTGCCTCTTAGGCCTGAAGAATGCAGGTCCCACTCCTGAATGTGATGAAAAAGGAATGTCTCTCATAACGCAGTCAAAAAGGCTGAACGTCAACCTGCAAATGCTTTCAACATATGCCAATGGCAAGTGGTAAGACTGAAGAGATTCCTGGCCAGCCATGTGATGGGAATAATAGGAGAGCCTTTCCCAATTCTCCAGTTAGAGGCACAGATACCTGGCTAGGTGCTCCATGAGAGTTAAACTGATCACAATAGGAGGATGGAGTAACACGCATACCAAGGGAATGCTTACTTTTACTTCAAAACAAAAACAGAAATTTGGTTCTGGCTCATTGCTTGTTGTATTTTGGGTCATGCAACCAATCAATGCCAGTCACTCGTACGAAATGTTGCCTCTGATTAAGCTAAATGCCTCAATGATCATGAAAAGGAATTTCTCCCTCATTAGTTTCTCTTTCTTCCCCCACCCCCGCTCCAATCCCTCCGTTAAACTCTTTCCCCTTATTCAATACCCTCCACCTGTCAAAAATGTGCTCTATTCTCTTGCCTATAATCAGCTTCCCCGACTTACCATTAGTCAGCTGTGAAAGTTGGGTCATGATACCATTGTGTGAGTTTCTCATCTCCTTTGAAATTCCTGTAACTGAAACGGGGGCAAAGCATTAGTTGCAGTCGTACAGGGGTATTACTGAAAAAAGAGACATGGTGTTGACGCTTTTGCGCCTGTATGCATCAGGACACCGGCAAAAACTCAAGTTTCAAAGGGGCAAAAGGGTACATGAGAAAAGGGGCTAATAGATTGGGCAATCAACTCTGATTGGTTAAGGCATTGCCATGTAGCGAAGACCAGGGAACAGTTATCACCATATTTTGCTTTAATTCTAAAGAGGCTATCGTCTAACATTATACATTGTGTTCTGAGCTTTGGAAGTTCCAAAATTTGACAGCATTTACTGAATAACCCTGACTGTGTTAAGAATTACAATAGCAAACAATTTAAAATTATCACTAGGGCTCATAATGTGGTTGACTTATGCCTTCTAGAACCTACATACTTTCATATGTAGGGACCTACCTTCTAGACAAAGGAGGAATATATCTAGGCACTGCACCTTTTGTTTGAATTAAACAAAAGCCTGGAGGGGTAAACATTTCCTGCCATATTTCCCAATGGCATTCCCTTGGCCAATCAGAATTGACTTTTGTAAACTAAACAGAAGTCATTCATTGTACAATATTGGTTTTGTTTCCTTTGAAATTTGGCATTCTTGCATCTGTCCAGATGAGGGCAACTTGAAAAGCTTCAACTGTAGGTCTCTTTTACTTCATCGAATATTCAAACTTCAATCCTTGTGATGGTCTCTGAATTGTGAAACCACAGCTTCTTCCAACAGCTCTACGAGGGGTGACTGGGATTTACCATCTGAAGAAATTTATAATTGAAGTTGTGTTCGGATCACTGATAGGGTTGCTTAAAAAATTCATGGAAAAGCTGAGTCATAGTGGTTTTACAGCATGGCAAAAGGTCCTTCAGCTCATTGTGTCCACAGTGGTCATCAAACATCCATCTTTTCTAATCCCATTTTCCAGCACTTGGCCCGTATGCTACTGCATCTCAGGTACTCATCTAAATGGTTCTTAACAGTATGGAAGGTTTCCCTCTCTACCACCCCTTCAGAAGATGGGTTCCAGATATGCACATGCCTCTGGGTGAAAAATACGTATCCTCCAATCACTTTTAATCCTCCTACTCCCTAGTTTAATGCTGTTCTCCCTGGTTATAGATCCCTCTTCAAAGGGGAAAGGTTTCTCTTAATCTATCATGTGCATGCCCCTCAGAACTTTGTACATTTCAATCAGATCATTCCCTCAGCCTTCTCTGCAATAACATAAAGAATCCAACCTATCTAGTCTTTTTTCATAGCTGAATTGTACCAGCACAGGAAACATGCTGCACCTTCTCTAGTGCAGTTACAGCCTTTCTATCTTGTGGTGACCAGACCTATACACTGTACCCCAGCTGTAGCCTAAGTATAATAAGTTGTCCCAAGGTACGATATTAGTTATATCGCAGTTTTCATTTCTTCATGCATGGGATGTGGGCATTGCTGGCTGAGCCATCATTTACTGCTCAGCTCTAGTGGCCTTTGAGAAGGTGGTGGTGAGTTGCTTTCCTGAAGCATTGCAATCCATAAGAGTGTAGGTAGACTCAACGCTGTTAAGAAGTGAATGCTTGTGTATGTAAAACCAATCAATGGGCTATTTTGTCCTGGTGTTAATCCTCTTGAGTGTTGTTGGGGCTCACATAATAAGTATTAATCCTTGCTGGAATACTATGAACAGTTCTGGTCCCCTTATCTATGGAAAGATTCACTGGCATTGGAGGCAGTCCAGAGAAGGTTCACTGGATTGATACCGGGTATGGAGGGGCTATCTTATGAGGAGAAGCTGAGTAGGTTGGGCTTGCACTCACTGGAATTCAGAAGAATGAGAGGTGATGTTATTGAAATATATAGGATTCTTGGTGGCCTTCTGAGAGATTTGTGGGATGTAGATGCTATATAAAAACATAAGAAACAGGAGGAGCAATGGGCTATTTTGCGCCACAAGTTTGCTTGCTATTCAACAAGATCATGGCTGATCTACCCCAGGCCTTAATTCCTTTTTCCTGCCAGCTCAAGAGAGCTGTTAACTCCTTGAAATTTCAAAAGTCTATGTACTCATAAAATGTTTTCACTGATCTAGTCTCCACAACTCTCTGGGGTAGGGAATTCTAGACATTTGCTATTCTCTGAGTGAAAAAATTCCTTTGCATCTCAGTTCTAAATGAGTGTCCTTTTATTCTGTAACAATGTCCCATAGTTCAATGCTCCTCCTCTAGTGGAAACAGTTTCTCAACATCCCCCCATGTCAAGCTCCATCAGAATCTTGCAGATTTCAATGAGATCATCCCTTTTTTTGTAAATTCTAAAGCAAACAGGCCTAACCTGTTTAGCCGTATTTGCTAAATCAGTTTCTTCATCCCAGAAATCAGCCTAGTGAATCTATTTTGAACTGTCTCCAATGCAGCATCCTTTTTGAAATACAGAAACCAACTGTACATAGTACTCCAAGTGCAACCACATTAACACTCTGTAGAGTTGTAATAAGACTTCCCTGTTTTAGATTCCAAGTCCCTAGCAATAAAGGACAAAATTCCATTTGGCTTCTTAATTATTTCTGCACCTGCATGCTAACCTTTTCTGTTTCATGCACAAGAACACCAAGATCACTCTATGCTGCATGTTTTTGGAATCTTTATCCATTTAAATAATAGTCTGTCTTTTGATTCTTTCCACCAAAGTGTGAGACCTTGAAATTTCCTATGCTAAACTCCAACTGTCCTATCGCTCAAACTAGTTATATCCTGTTGTGGATTCTTCATGCTCTCATCACTATATACCCTCCCTACAATTTTGACATTGTTCAACAAATATGGATATATTACACCCAGCTACTTTATAAGATCACAAAAGTACAGAAGAGGGCTTTCAGTTGGTCGAGTCTATACTGGTAAAAATATACTGACACAGGTTTCACTTTCCTGCACTAGGCTAATAGCCTTGATTGTTGTGACACTTCAAGTGTCCATCAAAGTACTTTTTAAAGGTTTAAGTGCAATCCAGACCCCCAACACCCTCTGAGTGAAAGGTCTTTCTTCAAATCCACTTTAAACTTCTTGTCTTTCACTTTAAAATGATGTGCTCTTGTTATTCACCCTTAAACCAAAGGGAATAGTTGCTTTCTATTCACCCTGTCTTTATCCTTCATAATCTTATACCGCTCTAAAGGGTCTCCCCTCAATCTTTCCTGCTCAAAAGAAAGTAACCTGAGCTTATCCAGCCTTGCTTCATAGCTGAAATGCACCATCCCAGTCTACATCCTGTAGAATCTCCTCTGCACCCCCTACAAGTCATGAATATAGATAGTAAATAATGGAGGTCTTAGGACTTATACTTGTGGCACTCTATCCTGAAAAAGACCAATTATAATCTCAACTCTATTTATGCTGATTATTCTTCAATCCAAGCTAAAAAAAAGTTATTCCCAATACCTACAGGTTAGACCTTTTAGAACTGAGACGAGGAGACAACTTTCACTCAAAAGGTAGTGAACGTATGAAATTCTCTATCACAGAAGGCTATGAAAGCCAAGTCAATAAATATATCCAAGAAAGATCTAAGGTTTTAAAGGCATCAAGGAGTATGGGGTGAAAGTGGGAATGTGGCACTGAAATAGAGGATCAACCATGATCATACTGAACGGTGGAACAGGTTTGAAGGGCTGAATCGCCTACTCCTGCTCCTAGTTTGTATATTTGAGCAGATAGAGTCATACAGTTGTACAGTACGAAAACAGACCCGCGGGTCCAACACATCCATGCCGACCAGGTTTCCCAAACTAAACTAGTCCCATTTGCCTGCGTTTGGCCCATATTCCTCAAAGCCTTTCCTGTTCATGTACCTATCCAAATGTCTCTTAAAAATTATTACTGTACCTGCATTGACCACTTCCTCCGGCAGCTCATTCCATAGACAAACTACCCTCTGTGTAAAAAAGTTGCCCTTCAGGTTCTTTTTAAATCTTTCCCCTCTCAACTTAAACCTATGTCCTCGTTTTGAACACCCCAACTCTGGGAAAAAGGCTACTCACCCTATATATGCCCCTCATGATTTTATGAACCTCTGTAAGGTCACCGTCAACTTCCTATGCCCAGCCTATCCAACATCTTTTTATAACTCAAACATTCCAGTCCTGGGAAAACACTTTTAAACCTTTCAAGCGCCCTTACCAATTTAATAGCATTATTCTTATAGCAGGGCAGCCAAAACTGTACGTTGTACTCCAATTGTGGCCATACCAATATCTTGTACAGCCATAACATGGCATCTCAACTCCTGTAATCAATGCCTGACTGATGAAGGCAAGCGTACCAGAGGCCTTTTTCACCACCCTGTCTATCTGTGATGCTACTTTCAAGGAACTATGTACATGCACGTCCAGGCCTCCCTTTTTGACAACACTCCCCAGGGCCCTACCATTAACTGTATAAGTCTTGCTAGGCTTGTCTTACCAAAATGCAACACCTCGCACCTTGCATCTATCTAAATTAAACTCCATCTGCCATTCCTTGGCCAACTATCCAAGTTGATCAAGATCCCTTTGTACTCTTAGATAATCTTCTTCACTGTCCACTATACCACCAATTTTGGTGTCATCCACAAACTTACTAATCATGCCTCCTATATTCATATCCAAATCGTTTACATAAAAGATGAACAACAGTGGATGAAGCACCGATCCTTGCGGTACACCACTGGTCACAGGCCTCCAGGCAGAACAACTACCCTCTACCACCACCCTCCGTCTCCTACCATCAAGCCAATTTTGTATTCAGTTGGTGAGCTCTCCCTGCATCCCATTGTGATCTAACCTTACCAACCAGTCTACTATGCGGAACCTTGTCAAAAGCCTGACTAAAGTCCATGAAGATGTTTAATGCTCTGCCTTCATCTATCTTGGTTACCTCTTCAAAAAATGCTATCAAGGTTATGAGACACGATTTCCCACACTCAAAGCCATGCTGACTACTCAGTCCCTGCT